GTTTAGTAGTTCTAAGAGTTTATCTTAGGATCACTGACAAACCCTGATGGTATTCACTAATGGTGCCCGCAATAATAATAGCCGAGTGGAAAGCTGAGTTTGCAAACTAATTTACTTGTTATTTATTTATTTCTTTTAAGGTGTTGTGTCAAGAAGGCTCTGGTGAATAAAATTTATTATCACAGCCTCTACTTGATTTTTTGAGAAATCTCTCTTAAAATCAAGAATTATTCAGTGCACCTCAGGGTTTCGGTACATTTCACACGTTTTCAGAGGATATTTTTCATTACTGAGCCTTCATCTTGTTTCCAGTGCAGTGCTGGGCTCTCAGTGAATGCTGATGGAAGACACTGCACAGGTGCTGGAAAAGTCAAGTCCATCTTGCTCCCTGCCGTCAAGGAACTCTGACTAACTTTGAGAGAGATGATTATGGCGCAGGTAGAAAGCGAGAACTTATGAGGTTATTAATCACTTTAGTCCTTCATCTCATTCCTGGTTGTGTAAAATGGATGGTCTAAATATTTTCTCCATCCATTGTACTGTGGCACTGGCCAGGCACTCAAATTTGTGATAGCGTAGAATTTATAAACTCCTCATCACTCAACTTGCCTTTGTGTAAGACAAATTTTGGTAAATGTTATCAGCCTTCACCTGGTAAATATTTTAGTTATCAGAAAAGTTCTGATATCTTACTATGAACCACATGATTCTAGTTTTCCTGCAACTTTCAAATGGGGACGTCTTATTCTATAGAAGTTACACAATTTATGTGAAGACAGAAATTCATAACGTCAAAGACAAGATGATTCAAATAGAAACCATTTACTCTAAAACTTCTAGCTTGTTGTGGTAGCCAAGTCTCATGTAAATAGGAGTATTTTGTGCCACTTAAAATTCAAAAACTGTAGAATGACAGCTCATTTTCATGTCTGCTAATTAATTGTAAAATGCTTTGAGACTCATGCAAAGTTTTAAATATAACAGGCAGAACCTGAATATGAATAACAATTATTTCAAAGTTTAACATTGCTCCCCCATTTATACTATTGAGTCAGCAAAGAAGAAAATCGTAGAAGGTTCTCACTGGAGGGACTCTGTAAATCTTCTGATCTGCTCTGCTTCATTTACAGATGAGGAAACTAACATCCAGAGAGATCATACAATTTACCAAAGGTCACATAGCTGGTTATAGTGACAGCGATGGGCCTAGAAGTCAAGTCTGCACTCTCCTACCTGTACTTCATTTCACTTTTTCCCAGACTAACATCTTACCTTGAACGATTCACTGACACTTTGCAAAATATGTAGAGTCGATTTCCTAAATAAGATTTAATATTAATAATTCAATTCTAGATTTTCTTAAGTTCATTAAATTGCTCTACATACCTAATGAAGACTAACATTTATTGAGCTCACACTGTGCCAGCACTGTACTCAAGAGTTTATATTCATTACCTTGCTGAATTTTCCCAACAACCTCATAAGGCGGGTATCGTTTTATAAATGAGCAAACTCAGGCCTAGAGAGAGAGGTGGCTTGTGAAGGTCCCAGAGCTTCTCTGTGGTCTGGCTGGGGCTCCAGCCTGGTCTGTCTATTGTTATGCCTCTATTTTTTTTTTTTTTAAAGATTGGCACCTGAGCTAACAACTGTTGCCAATCTTTTTTTTTTTCTTTCCTGCTTTATCTCCCCAACCACGGTCCACCCCCTCCCCTTACATAGTTGTATATCTTAGTTGCAGGTCCTTCTAGTTGTGGCATGTGGGACGCCCCCTCAACATGGCCTGACAAGCGGCGCCATGTCCGCACCCAGGATCCCAACCGGTGAAACCCTGGGCCGCCTCAGTGGAGCGTGGTAACTTAACCACTCGGCCACCGGGCCGGCCCCAAGCCTCCACTTTTAACCAGAATTTGATACATTCTCCCTTCCAGTTGAGCTTTCCTGTTTCTCTATTTAAAATTCTGATTTTAATACATAATAATTTGGAGGTCCTTGTAACTTCTTACATTTCTGTAAGAAGACTGGAAAATGTATCTCAGTACATTTCTTGCTTCCTTCATTAATTTAAATCGGGCTTGATTGTATTATTCAAAAAATACACAGTTAAATGAAATAGCATCTTGAGTCCATTGAATGTAGCATTCCTGTCAGCTCAGGTCACTTCACTGCTGACAACCCTTCAATGTCTTCCTTCTCACTGGAGTCAAAAGCCAAAGTCCTTACAAAACGGCCTGCAAGGCTGCTGACAATCTGCACCTCCCCTCCTCTCTCAGCCTCTGATCTCACTCCCTGCCTTTCCCCTCAGGCCTCTCTATTTACTCTTCTTCCCTCCACCTCTTCTAGATGTTTGCTCAAATGTTACCTTATTTCTTAGGCTTGCCTGACCACCCCGTTTATAACTGAAAAGCTCACCGCCACCTCAGCACACCCTGCCCCTTCCTGTTTTATATTTCCCTGCAGTACGGGTTACCATCTCTATTTTATTTATTGACTAACTCTCCCTAGAATAGTGAAGGCATAATTACATACTTCACTGCGGTGTTCCTAGCAGACCAGTACCTGTCTCAGGCAAGGTGCTCAAAAAATATCTGCTGAGTGAATTCTGTGATGAACAGGAGCATTTAAGTATGTGCCTTTGTTTCAACCTCAAAATGTAAGCTATATATTCTGAGCGCCCTAATAATGACCTCTCATAGATCTCTTACCCATGGGTAATTTGCTCTTTACTCATTATCAAGAGTTAATGTGTCCCCTCTCTCACTCTGTATTCTTGGTAGTCTCTAGGATTTCAAAAAGGGGGAATGGCAAGCTCCTTGTGGGTCCCTCAGCGATTTACAGGCAGTGATCTGTACTTTCACTCGTCTCTGTAGAACATGACTATCGTGATAGCATTAAAGTACAAGAAGCAAAAGCAATTAGTGAAATTAAGTCACTATTTGTCCTTTCAAGTGGTAAGATAAAATATCGAACGGCAGATTTCACCTGTTTGTAAAAAGGACAAACAGTAAGAAGAAGTCTTTTTGAGCATTTATAAAAGCTATTTTCCTTTCAAATATTACCGCAGAAGGCCCAATGTAATGAAGGAGCACTGGGGGGGAGTGAGGGCCTCAGCTTCCTGGGCTGTACAATGAGCAGACTAAAGATGATCTCCAGGCTCCATGAAACTCCAGAAGTGTGCAAAGCTCTTGGAGATAACGCCATGGAACTTTCTCATGTCCATCTAATGTTATATTTCATGTTTGTTATTACAACTGATTTAACATACCAAGAACGATTGTTATAAATTGATGATATAAACTTTATTTTCATAGTTTAGTTTTTCCAGTTAGATGGACGTTGTTTTCCTATCACTAATATCTAAAAACGCAAAAATACCTAAGGCCACTTATGACCTTAAAGGACCATCATTATAACTATATTTAACTCTGATTCATTATGGGACAAATTCTCCAGTTTGTGAACATGTAAGCCTCCTGCAGTTCTATTCCCATTTTTGAACAAGGAGAAAGAACTTGAAAAGTTCAAATTCCATTTTGTAACTTGTTTTTAAGCTCCAAGGACATTAGAATCAAAGACTAAAATGAGTTTTTGGCACTATTTGGAAGTTCTTATTCTTGGTGCTATCCATTCCACCTCCATTAACTTCAACTGAGAATTATCAGTACTATACATAGTACATTAATGTCAACTCAAATCATTTCACAAATGTTAATATTTCATCTTCATGACGACTGCATGGTAAAGTACATGCTTCTTACAATCTATGGAAAAGAAACTTTAAAAATAAAATTAATCAATTAATCAGTTAAATCAGAGTAGCCTATGGGTAAAAGTTCGTGTGTTTCTCCAAATTTCTAACACTGGGGCAGCAATTATTGTGCCAGCTAAAGCACCAAAGAGTGGGTATTCCTGACCTCCTTAGTCAGAGAGAGTGGAACACCGCCTCATCACCGTGCAGATTCTCTGGGGTTTCGGATGTTCACCCCTATCACAAATCTAAATTCTGGCACCCCATCTAAAATCTCAAGAACATCACACACCTTCCATTTAGTAAAGAGAAAAACTAAACTTCTAAATTATACCAAAATAACAGATTTTTTCCGAAAGTGGTAGTCTTTCTTTTTACAGAATCACAGCCCCTTATTTTCATGAGCTTTCCTTAGTTTGAGCATGATTTGGTCGAGTGTTTCTACAGCAACAGCAATAGAATCAAAGTGTGCGATCTAGATGGGTCTCACCCTCATTGTGAGCTACTGGGACTTCCTAACTGGAGACCAGGTCCTACGTTGGCCACAACCAATCTTACAGGAGACCCATCATTTCGGTACGTAGAGAAAACTCAGAAGTGCAATTCCGAGGCTTCACTGCTTCGGCTACTAGTGCCGCCCTGACAGCGGCCGCGACTGGGCCCGCGAGGCGCCGGCAGCCCGGCAGTCCGGCAGCCCGAGGGGGCCCGCCCGCCCGCCAGGCCCGCCCGCCCGCGCCGCGCCAGGCCCGCGGGGACAAAGGCGGCTCGGCGCGCGCCCTGCCCGGCTCAGAGCCAGCTCGCGAGGCAGGACTCAGGAAAATCAAACCACATATTGAGCGGAAGGAAATCCCCCGAGAATAACTGTCAATTTGTGTTGTACTAGTCAGAACTGAAATAAAATTTTAGGGCGTTTTAGACAAATATCTAGAGACACCGATAAGAAAGCAAATCTAAGATGGAAGAAAAGATGGAGGCTTCCGTTGAAAATGCCAAGCTGAGGTCAGGGCGTGTTTAGGTAAAAGCGGCCTCCGGGCGGGAGAGGCGCAGAGCACACGAGCGTGGCCAGGGGACGCCGAGGAGGGCGCCGGCCTCCGCGGGCCGGCTTAACCGAAGGCGGTGAACCCTCCGCGGCTCGGCCTGGCCGCGCGGCAGGCCCGGCCCGGCGCGGGGGCGGGGGCCGGGCGCGGGCGCGCTCCCGGCGGGGGCGGGGCGCCTATATTGCGTGCGCGGCGCCGCCCCTGCGAGAGGACGTTGCGTGCTCGCTCGCGCAGGCGAGTGTCCGCGTCTCCCTCGCGAACTCGGTGAAAGGAATTGGCGCCGTTCGACACCAGGCGGGTCCGCTCTGCAGCACGAATCCTCCAGCCGCAGCCGCCGCCGGGCCGAGAGCGAGCCAGCGCCAGCGTGAATCGGGCCTCACCATGAGTTCCTCGCCTGTGAACGTGAAGAAGCTGAAGGTGTCGGAACTGAAGGAGGAGCTCAAGAAGCGGCGCCTCTCCGACAAGGGCCTCAAGGCCGAGCTCATGGAGCGGCTCCAGGCCGCGCTGGACGACGAGGAGGCCGGCGGCCGCCCCGCCATGGAGCCCGGGAACGGCAGCCTGGACCTGGGCGGGGACTCGGCCGGGCGCTCGGGCGCGGGCCTGGAGCAGGAGGCCGCGGCCGGCGGCGACGACGACGACGAGGAGGACGAGGAGGAGGAGGAGGGCATCGCCGCTCTGGACGGCGACCAGATGGAGCTGGGCGAGGAGAACGGGGCGGCGGGGGCGGCCGACGCGGGCCCGATGGAGGAGGAGGAGGCCGCCTCGGAGGACGAGAACGGCGACGATCAGGGCTTCCAGGAGGGGGAGGACGAGCTCGGCGACGAGGAGGAGGGCGCGGGCGACGAGAACGGGCACGGCGAGCAGCAGCCCCAACCGCCGGCGGCGCCGCAGCCGCAGCCCCCGCAGCAGCGCGGGGCCGCCAAGGAGGCGGGGGGCAAGAGCGGCGGCCCCACCTCGCTGTTCGCCGTGACCGTGGCGCCGCCCGGCGCGAGGCAGGGCCAGCAGCAGGCGGGAGGTAAGAAGAAGGCGGAAGGCGGCGGAGGCGGCGGTCGCCCCGGGGCTCCGGCGGCGGGTGAGTGCTGCGTGTGCGGCGCGCGCGGCGGGTGGGGACCGTGCCCCGGGCCTGCCGGAGCCCCGCGGAGCCCCGGGCGGGGCCGCCGGTGGGGGAGCCCGCGCGGCGCGGCGCGGCGGCGCCTCCATTATGTGGCTGGCGGCCGGGCGCCGCAGCCGCCGGGGGGGGCGCCGCTGCGGGCGCGGGGCGGCACATGTCGGGGGGAGGGGAGGCCGCGGGCGCGCCTCGGCGGCGCTGGGCCGCGCATTGTGCAAGGCGCGCGGGCCCCGCGTGACGTCACTTCCGGCGGGCGGGGCGGAAGGGCACAATGCGGCCGGGGCGCGGGCGGCGGGGGAGGGGCGGCGGCCGGGCGGGCGGCCCCCCTGCCTGCCGGGCGGCACGTGGGCTCGGCGCCGGGGCCGCGCTGGAGTTCATTAGCTTTCTCGAACCTTCGAGGAGACTGCCAAATTAGCCGTGTCTGAAGACTGCGTCACTGACGCCAGTCCGATTCCAAGCTGATGGCTGTTGCTTTCGCATTTGATGCGCCGATGGAAAACGCTTGCCGGAAAGAGCAGGGCAGGCTCGAGCTTTCCGCTCCCCGGAGCCGGAGCGGCTTCGCCCCGCCCGCGTGGCGGCGCGGCTCCATGTCGGGGCGTTGTGTGTTGTAGGAGACGGCAAAGCAGAGCAGAAGGGCGGAGATAAAAAGAGAGGGGTGAAGAGACCTCGGGAGGACCACGGCCGCGGCTATTTCGAGTACATTGAGGAGAACAAGTACAGCAGGTAGGGCCGCGGCCCGGCGTCGCGTGTCGCGGGCTGGTCCCGGGGCGCGCCTCAGGAGACGCTTGTGTCTTTCAGAGCCAAGTCTCCTCAGCCGCCAGTGGAGGAAGAAGATGAACACTTCGATGACACAGTGGTTTGTCTTGATACTTGTAAGTGAAGCTTTTCTCTCCCTCCTCCCCCAGTTAGCAGAGGTGGTGATTTTTGGTTCCAGAACGTTAGAAAACTTAATGCAGTGCGTGGAACTTAAATGGCGGAAAACTTAGCATAAGTTTTTTTAAAAGAAGGAAGATGATGGTTTATGTTCAGATCCCCGTAGCCTGATATTTAGTATAGTATCAGTTGTGTTGTACTGATAATTTTACAGGCTCTAGGAATTTGGTAATTTTTTATGGGACTTCGAAGTTCTCATTTGTAGGAATGTAAGATTAATGCCAGCTTTTGACTAGCTAGCTAATGGAAACTTGTAAGACTACCTATAATTTGTCCTTATAGGCTTCTACAATAAAGTAATTTCGGTTTTTGGTGGAATTATATTGTGAGCTATTTGGGCTGGTTAGATAATTTCTTAATGACTTTTCCCGTTAGCACCCGAGTATATTCCCTATTCTACAAGATTGTAATAATACTTTTTCAATAACTGCTCTTTTGTTCTCAATTCCAGTTCAGTAGCTGCTGCTTTAACATAAGTTGATTTCTACCAAAGACCTGGGGCAGCAGCAGTGGGCTTTCACTGGGCCACTAGCTTTCTTCAGCAGCGAATGGTATCAATGGCAGCGCTGTAAATACTGCTCCTTTACCCAGTTGGGTTGCAATTGAGTATGAGGAAGTATTGCAAACCTTTAAATGGGCCTTGGCTGTCAGATTTATAGTTTTTTAATTACAAAAAAGTTTTCTTTTAGTATCTGATCGCAATTCACCATTCTTTCAGTGTGATAAACAGCAAATGGTAGAAATAATTGCATGAAAAATAGAGGTAAGGTGTCAACTTGCCCTGTAGATCTAAGGGAATGGAAGCTTAGCTTCTCACGTTTTGAATACATTATGCTTTGTAAGAGCATAAACGTAAAAGTCTTGTTTCTTATTGAGTGCCTTTTACAAGGTACCCTTTTTAAAAGAAGAAACTGCACGTGGGAAGGTAGTTGATTTGAAAGTTTTAACTTCAGTTGCTTAAATATCAACTCAGTAGGAATTGGCAAGATACTGAAGCAATAATTCAGGAAGATACTACTATTAATATAAAGCAGATGTTTAGCTGATGACTTAGGAATATCAGTTTAAGTGCAATATTGGGTTCAAACAATTTGATGAATGGAAAATTTTATCAGTGATTATCAGGAATTTTCAGAGCAAAGCTAATTTAAGGAGAATTCCAAACTGTAGCTTTAATTTTCTCTCATCCATAAAAACTTAAGAAAACAGCTGTCTAACTTAACCTTAGCTCTCTGTCAAGTGAGAACTCTGAGAAGGGGCATGCTAATAGCCAGTGACCCAAAGATAGCTAGGTTAAAGACGTTTGGGATTTGGATAATCATGGAACTGGATAATCCCCAGTTGTTGACTAACAGGCAAGCCTGGGGGGAAAGGGACCTAAAATGCTGTGATATCAACAGCCTTGGACGACCAGGTTTGTTCTTTGTAGGTCGAGGCTAGCTTCTTCACAAGTTTTAGAAAAGAATTGAGGATCTAGGGTCCCTGGTGTTTTAAAATTAAAAAGTGCAGGCTCAACAGCTCATACTCCCATTTTAAAATACTTGGTCATGGCCTCCCTTCAGTTTTATTGTGGCACTGGTAAATTCTACCTGGTTCTGGCATGCTTCACTTTGATTTCCTGCTATCCTCTACTGCTTGCCTCTAAATCAAGGTAAAGAGCAGAGCAGGTATGTATTGATGTCACATTGTCTTATTTTATATACTTAAAATATACGTGTTAAACCTTCTTAGTTTTATAGGTAGTTTACACTTTAATTCATAATTTGGCAACAGTGACTTGGTGGGAGTGGGGTGTAAATTGAAAATTACAACAGCATGATCCGTAAAAACGTTTTATTCAGCATTAACATGTGCAAAAATTTAATAACCAAGTTTTGTTTACATAGCAAATATATTTACATTGGATGTCAAAAGAAATAATATGGTATTTGATATAATTACAGATAATTGTGATCTGCATTTTAAAATATCAAGAGATCGTCTCAGTGCTTCTTCCCTTACTATGGAGAGTTTTGCTTTTCTTTGGGCTGGAGGAAGGGCATCTTATGGTGTGTCAAAGGGCAAAGTCTGTTTTGAGATGAAGGTAAAGGCAATTTTTGATTTGTGTAGTTTTTTTAAGAGCCTTTCAGTTTTCATTTGCCTGACACTATTAAGTGTTAGTGGAACTTTTTCTTTTTGTGGTTTCTTTGGATTAGAAGAAGGGCTTGGAATCTTAGTTTCGTAATAGTTGAACATGTTTGTTATATCACAATTTGTGATAGAGAGCCAGCATGTTATTTAGAGTGCTCTTTTTTTTTTTTTTAAATCAGGCACTTGAAAGGCCTACCAAGGGTTTGAAAATAATAAAAATTTGGTTAGGCTCCTGGTTTTGTTCCCGAGAAAACATGTTAAAGGTATACCTTAATTGGTTTTAAATTGAGAATTCAGAATATGTAATTATTAAACATTAATTCTCCTAAGTGTGGATCAAGCAAGTACTTAACCTGAACTGTTTTCAGTTTCAATTTATAAGCTCTTACACATCAATTTTTAAAGTTTAGTGCTGGGGGTGGTGGGGTACGGTGGGTGTCTTTTTGTATTAGTAGTTAGAGAAATATTAGCCCATGGCCCAAATGAAATATAAGTTAGGGTTCAAGCGTTTATCTTCCTTGGTTTATGGTTTAATCACTTAACGATTTGATTTTCAGGTTACAGAGAAGATCCCAGTGAGGCATTTATATACAAAAGATATTGACATACATGAAGTTCGTATTGGCTGGTCACTAACCGCAAGTGGAATGTTGCTTGGTAAAGTTTCCATTTGAGTACCATGTGCTCATGAGTGTTTAGGGTCTGATTTCAGTAGTTAGACTAGAAGGCATTCTGAACCTTTTGCCTGTTTTTATCCAATCTTAATATTGTCAAGATGAATAATGTTAGCATGTAGTAGACACAGGGTAAATTTCCATTTTTCTTCCTTTATGGTTAGGAGTTGTTTTACGACCAGTGGTTAAAATAGAATGTTCTCCATGGGATGCAATTTATTGACTAGTTATAAAACTCACCTAGCTCTCATTAATTCTGTATCTAGTATAAAGTCAGTGTAAGTGAAAGAATGTTAGATTATATATTCATTTCTGTTGAACCCTGCGTCTCGAATATTAAAATATGTGGGTCATTGGACTGCTTTTAGAGATTAGCTTCATGAAAGTTAATTATTTTCTTAGGTGAGGAAGAATTTTCTTATGGATATTCTCTAAAAGGAATAAAAACCTGCAATTGTGAGACTGAAGATTATGGAGAGAAGTTTGACGAAAATGATGTGATTACATGTTTTGCTGTAAGTCATAGCTAAATTTCCACATATAAATGGCAAGTTATTAGCCAGGATTCTTTGTTAAGCCGTATCAGTGTGACTCTTCAGTAGTAACTCATTTTGAGTGAAAACTACTTAATAGGAAGTTGATCTAAAACTGAGGTCTATCTTCTAGGGTATTGTTTCTGCTTCTGGATATAGGTGTTTCATTGTTTATAACCATCAGAAAGCTCTTAACATTTAACCTAAATATGTTTTCCACAGGATAAGCTTCACTCCTAGTTTGTATTTTGAAGTTTCTTAGATGGCTTATAGGAAGCAGATTAAAACCGCTGATTTCTCTTCTAATTAACAGAACTTTGAAAGCGATGAAGTGGAACTCTCTTATGCAAAGAATGGACAAGATCTTGGCATTGCCTTTAAAATCAGTAAGGAAGTTCTTGCTGGACGGCCACTATTCCCACATGTTCTCTGCCACAACTGTGCAGTTGAATTTAATTTTGGTCAGAAGGAAAAGCCATATTTTCCAATACCTGAAGACTATACTTTTATCCAGAATGTCCCCTTGGAGGATCGAGTTAGAGGACCGAAGGGGCCTGAAGAGAAGAAAGATTGTGAAGTAAGTGATTTTTTTTTTTTTTTAATAGTGTGAAGATTGCCTTTGCTTGGCATAAATGACATTTAGAAGAGCTGGTTGGTTGGTCTGTTTCATTTATTTTCTGCCATACGTGTTGTTCTCAGCTAGTGATTTTTCTCTTAGTAGCTGTCTTTTCTGTCGATGGAGAATGTTAAATTTTCCACAAACAGGAATTCCCTTGTTACAGGGCTGTGAAAATTTAGTCATTTAAACTGGGTGGTTGTGTATTAAAAATATATTTGAAGAATTGTAAAGTGGCGATTAGACAGTGAAATAACCTTTTTTTCCATTGTAGGTGGTTATGATGATTGGCTTGCCAGGAGCTGGAAAAACAACCTGGGTTACTAAACATGCAGCAGAAAATCCTGGTAAATACAACATTCTTGGAACAAATACCATAATGGATAAAATGATGGTGAGTAAAATGTTTAAGGCTTGATCATCTTAGAGGTAGGAGTGTGGACAAAGTTAAATTGGTTACTTAAGTAGGCTCTTTATCTGTAAAGTAAACTGCCTTCCATTGGCTAGTCTTCATTGTCTTTTCTATATAATTTTTTGAATTCTTAACATCCAGAAGATAAAAAAGAATAGCATAGGGTCTTGTTACATGATAAAGTGATCTTTTTTGTGTAGGAATGAGAAAAGACCATATTTAAATTTTAAAGTGCCTGCCTTCCATATAGATCTAAGCTGATACTAAAAGCTTAGCCTGAGATTCATAAGTTCAAAGGAAATTTTAACTTTTAAAAATAGGTGGCAGGTTTTAAGAAGCAAATGGCAGATACTGGAAAACTCAACACGCTGTTGCAGAGAGCTCCACAGTGTCTTGGAAAGTTTATTGAGATTGCTGCCCGTAAGAAGCGAAATTTCATTCTGGATCAGGTAAGCTGTAGCTTGAAGTTAAAAGAAGTAATTGATGATTGGGTTTCGCATAGAATTAATGTTTGGAATTATAAACTAACTTTTTTTTTTTTTTTTTTAAGACAAATGTATCTGCTGCTGCCCAGAGGAGAAAAATGTGCCTCTTTGCAGGCTTCCAACGAAAAGCTGTCGTAGTTTGCCCAAAAGATGAAGACTATAAGCAGAGAACACAGAAGAAAGCAGAAGTGGAGGGGAAAGACCTACCAGAGCATGCAGTCCTCAAAATGAAAGGCATGAAATTTAATTCTCTTGTTACTATGTTGAATCTTAGGATTTGTATCTGTAAGCTCAAATTAACGTTTTCTGCCAGTAATACGGTTTTAGGAGTTACATTAACTCTTTGTAAATGAGTGTCTGGCTTATTTCTGTTTTTAGGAAAATATGTTAGTAAACTATGAGTAGATTGTATTGTGTATTGAAAGAACTGAAGCCATTCAAGAATTGTAGACTTTAGGATTGTGACTGTATGTGGTGGGTTTTTAAGTTAATCTGACCTTATTCCTTATAGGAAACTTTACGCTGCCAGAGGTAGCTGAGTGCTTTGATGAAATAACCTATGTTGAACTTCAGAAGGAGGAAGCCCAGAAACTTTTGGAGCAGTATAAGGAAGAAAGCAAAAAGGCTCTTCCACCAGAAAAGAAACAGAACACTGGCTCAAAGAAGAGCAATAAAAATAAGAGTGGCAAGAACCAGTTTAACAGAGGTGGTGGCCATAGAGGACGTGGTGGATTCAATATGCGTGGTGGAAATTTCAGAGGAGGAGGCAAGTTAATTTTGAGTATTCTGTTTATTTGATTCAAAATGGAAACATGGTACTCTTCTAGTTTGGGTCTATATGTGATTTAGCTGAATTTAACATAGAAAGTTTGATCCTCATGTTGATCCTAGCCGCCCCGGTATCTAACTTAAAATCTTTGTGTGATTTGATAGCAAACATAGCTAGGCTTTGTGAATGGTTAAATTAAATGTTACTTTTGTCTTTAAATATTATTTTTCCCCTAAAGTAAAGTAACGGTCCAGAAGGACCATAAATCATATGTAAAAGAAGTACAACGCACTATTAAAGTAAACGTTTCTTGTCTTTAGCTCCTGGGAATCGTGGTGGATATAATAGGAGGGGCAATATGCCACAGAGAGGTGGTGGCGGTGGTGGAAGTGGTGGAATTGGCTATCCATACCCTCGTGGCCCTGTTTTTCCCAGCCGAGGTGGTTATTCAAACAGAGGGAACTACAACAGAGGTGGAATGCCCAACAGAGGGAACTACAACCAGGTAATGCTTTAAGATCCCTGCAGGGACCGATTTTCTGTATAGTCTAGTCTGGGAAGTTGTAAGCTTATGTTGCATAGCCCCAGTAAGAATTGTAAGGAACACTGTGTATGCATTGACATAAGTAAAATTAAACTAGTGATGGTAAAATCAGTCTACTTAACTAGTTTTGATTTCCAGATGCACAAGTCAGGTGATGTCTTATAACAAACACCTCAGAACAAACCAGCAGAGGGGCCTAGAATTTAGTGGCTAGCAGCCCGCCCATCCACTTCTGTGCTGTGCCCCTTCCTCCCCACCACGTACAAACATTCTAACAAGTTGTACTCTGAGTTCTTAAAGATTCTTTTTCCTATTTTTAGAACTTTAGAGGACGAGGAAACAATCGCGGCTACAAAAATCAATCTCAGGGCTACAACCAGTGGCAGCAGGGTGTAAGTAATTTCTTACGTGCATTAATTGTATTTGAGTTCATAAGAACCAGTCTTGGAAAAGATTTTGTCCAGGGATTGAAATGATTATAAGTGTTACAGGGCAAGGTGTGAATGAATTGTGTTGAAGTTGTAGCCATAATCTTATTTTTTGAAGGAAAAATAGGTTGGAGTTTGCTGTAACTTAGTATGTTTTTAATAAAGTAATATTATTTAATACACTTGATTCTTTTTACTACTAGCTTTAAGTTGTATAAACTAACCAAGTTACGATGTGTTTCTTTTTGTAATGTGTTTATTGATAATGGGATATTAAGACTAACTAAATCTGGTTTGATAGAAATCAGGTATGACAGGTATAAATTTGTTTCCAGCAATTACTCTGAATTAGATTCATTGTCAATTCCTAAAAGCAGTTTGAGTGGCTTATTGATGTTTTTTCTTTAAAAAAAAAATTTTCTCTTACAGCAATTCTGGGGTCAGAAGCCATGGAGTCAGCATTATCACCAAGGATATTATTGAATACCCAAATAAAACGAACTGATACATATTTCTCCAAAACCTTCACAAGAAGTCGACTGTTTTCTTTAGTAGGCTAACTTTTTAAACATTCCACAAGAGGAAGTGCCTGCGGGTTCCTTTTTTAGAAGCTTTGTGGGTTGATTTTTTTTCTTTTCTTTTTTGTACATTTTTAATTGCAGTTTTAAAGTGAATCGTAAGAGAACCTCAGCATTGTGCACGATAAGAGAATGTGTCAGTATTTCAGGGTTCTACATTTTATCTGTAAAATGTGACTTTTTTTTTTATCACAACAAAAGTAAAATGTTGCTTTGTACCTGGTGTCTTTTATTAAGAATTTACTCCCCTCATTTCTCACAGAGATAACAGTCGGGAGTCATTGTCACAATATAATAGAAATGTTAGCAACCAGATTCATGTAAGGACTAAGTGGTCCTCATGAATTGCATAAGACTCTGTACTGCTCATATTACACTCCATCCTCTCTGTAGTTTGTTGAATAGTGGAGGGGGTGAGCTAAATAGTAGTTTCTGACAATAACTGGGAAGGCTTTTTCTTTTAAATAACAATGGAATTGGCATAATTGGAACTGAAGATAAAGCTTGGAACGAGATAGAGAAGATGGAGTGTATGTAGAAGGGCTGTTAAAAATGTAAAACTTGGTTGCATTATTTGTGGAGGCTCAAACTTGTGAAGGTTAAATACCATAATTTTTCCATTTGTTCTGCATTTTGATTCTGAAAAGAAAGCTGGCTTTGCCCATTTCTTATTAAAAAACTTGTTGTAAATCCAGTTGTCTAATGGGATCTATATGAAGTTAGCTATGTCTGTATGCCCTTCTCCCACAAAATACTGTATAACTAGTGTGCTTGTAGTAGTTAACTCCACCATCTTTGTAAGCTAATGAAATTGTGAGTCACCCATTTATATCTTAATTTTTAATCATGTCAGTTCTTGAATGGGTATCTCCTTAGCCTGCTGATTTCTTTTTCTTTCTAAAGAAAGTGGGTGGAGAAATTAATTTAGACGTTTGTTTGCAATAAAAAGAATTCATTTTACTCTTGTTTTGGGATTCTCGCCATCAAGGTTCAAAATCCCTTTATAAGACTCCCAAGAGGAGAAAATTTAAGTGTGTGCTTTCTGGACAGCTTATTCTTTACTCTGTACTTGGAACATTTAGGTTTTAAAAACTTAAATGTATACTGACAATTGATTTTAATTACGAAGTAAAGTTGAAATCTTCCCTTCCCCTCCCCCCCCCAAATGACTTAACATTTAATGAGGGGAAAAGGTGCTGCTGGCTGGGAGAAGTTAACACGCAGTTTATCATCTTTACAAAATGCTAATGGCTGTCCTCAACTGATTATTTTATATACATATATATAATACATGAAACTCTGGGAACGGATGCTTTTAGAAGCCGTCATGCAAGCCAGTGATTTCACTACTACACAACACTGCTAACTTACTGTAGCTATGTGATAAAATTAGATCCCCGAATTGTAATTTTATTGGGTTTGCACAGAACACTTTAATCTTCTAAAGGACCCTCACTAATGTCAAGTGAGGAATCAGGAGTCAAACTGTAGAACTAAAACTTGACTTTAGTCTAGTGTCTTGTTGGTGTCTTAGGTTGCTTCTGGTAAGTTTAGGTTTGTTTATATTTCTTATTGCTTAGATTTTTGATTTAGCCATTTTAAATCAGATTTTTAATTTGTTCATACTCCTAGGAATTTTCTTGCTACAAGCTGAGCTGGAGTTGAGTTTTAGACGACGGTATAGGTTCAGTTGAGAAATTTTTGAAACAAAGGCTAATCGTATAATTATTGTAAGAACAGTTAACAGTACAAGGTAGTGTCTCAAGGGTTTTTGTCTTTTTAGCAGTTAACTTCGGCAACCATTGGCATGATGAGCTCCTTGTCTCAGTATACGTTATTAGTAGGATTGCATGGACTTACCCAGGGGAAAAAATTAAAACTTTGTTACTAATCAATGTTTAGGTGTCCTAAATGTTTAGGTGCCTTTAAAACTTCTTGAATATATTCTCCAGTTTAAAATTGCTTATTAAGGAACTCATTCTCATAATTGTAATGGGAGAATAATGGTCAAGTAACACCATTTGGTAGACTATCATGCCTGTATGGCCCAGAAAATTTTGAGAAGAGACATGAGAGAAGATTGCTGTCTAAGAAAATGTTAAAATTTTAAGGAGCAGTCAAGATCAGAATTCATAGTAAGGTCTACATTTGTATAAAAAGAAATAATTTTAGTAAGTATTTAAGAAACTCGAGGGAGTGCACCAAATAGCAAGCGAACAGAAGAAAAATAAGTTAAATGCAGAGTTTGACGGAATAAGATCTGTGAATGAGAAACTTGGTTTATTGTGAGCCCCTCCCCTTGCCTACCTCCCCTCTATGGCAAGCAAAACACCAAATAAACAAAAACATAACAGATACAATTCAGAGCAAATATCACAGCTGTACCCGGAGAACATTCACCCTTGATTGCTGTTAGTTTAAGGGGTGCTTTCACTAGGAAGTTTACAGATAGTTACCTGTAGCTGTCATCTTGAGTCAGTAGGATCAGATTGGTGAGCCACAGTGGTAGGAAAAGAGCACAAAAAGGTTAATGAGGAAAGAAGACAAAATGCTACAAGATAGAAACGTCTTACATCTTATTCGTATTGAGCCTTTGGTAGAGGGCTCTGGCTCTGACCGAGAAAATCAGTACCAGCTTCTGGCCTGATGTCCAGACAGCAAGATGAAATCTTACAATGAAATCCAAGTCAAATCAATTTGACATTGAAATGACCCAAGGAAGCTACACTAAATGCACAAGATCATAAGCTCATATTTGCCTGTCCTGAGCACTAGCAACAAGGTATTTAAGCTTAAAGGTGGTTTTCTTTGAGAAATGACTTAAGGTTTTTCTAGGAAATGTAGCTAATAGTATTTTAAGGTTTTTCACTTCTTGGGGAGTTTACATTCATGGACAGATTGTGTTCTGTAGTTAAGATTTGTCTCAGTTGTGGTAATTGACATGTTTTTCTATAAAAATATAAATTGGCTTTTATCCTAGGATCACTTTTGTAATAGGTCCAATTGCACAAATAAAAATGATGAAATATTTTAATACCTTTATAGGCAGTGGTACAGACATCTCTCACATACGAAGAACTGATCTATGAGAGTATATCTGATGTTTTTAAAAAGCCAAAACCAGAATAAACTTATTCTAAGGAAGGCATAAACATATCTTTTATAGTCCAAGTCTTAGTTACTGGTTTTAGTTAGACATAGAAATGCACATCTTAAAAACATATTTCCATTAATTACTTTCCTACACATAACTATAAAACGTTTATTTTTAAAAATGGATGGAACTTGCAGCAGAGAACAATTTCTACTCCCCAACCCTCCAGAGTATTTCCTGAGATACTCTCCTGGAAAGATGATGACAATATTCTTTCTAAAGCCATTTTTCCCTAGAACTCTTGGAAGGGTTTGAGTCTAAACTTTGTCATTCTTAATATTTCTGGGGCTCTGAGAAAAATAGGGTTTAAGTTTTAACATTTTAGTAATAGTTAATAAAAGCAAGGATATGGATGTTAGGGCCTGGAAATACGTTGTAGTATTTATGCATTGGAACACATGCATAAGTTTTAAGGGACCATTAGTACTTTCAGGAAGAACCTATCAACTACCTCACATCTCTAAACAGCAGTTTGAATTTGTCATGTAAACCACAGTCTCTTCAAATAGTTATCTGCCTAAATTTACTAAAAGTAAACTACAATACTCTTCTGATGTGGAGAGCCTTTTCCTTGGATAATTTTTAGATTTGAGTTGTTTTTGGCCCTGTCATTCCTCAACTTCTACACTAAAACATGCAGGTGGCAGGTCTAGCCAGGTTGGTGCTTGAGATTTTATTGAGGTTGCTTGAATCCCCAGTGTTTTATCCAGTGCCACAAGTACGTGTTTAAGACAAATGTTAGAATACTTTGTGCAGCTTACTGGTGTTGAAGTGACTCTCTCATTAACCCTTTTTACTAACCTTGCTATTTAAAGCAAACCCTTGAGAATTACTGGAAGTGAACGACAGTGCCAATTGGAGTAGGTATTGCTTGAGTGTGTTGAGGAGGAGGAAAAAATAAAAACCAGGATCCCTAGGTATCTTAACATTCCAAAATTTAAATTACATATATGTTTGTGAAATTAAATAGTTGAAGTAACCCGCCTTAATGGGTAGTCTTTATTATGTGTTGCTAAATATATATCCTACTTTGTTTGGTGGTCGCACTTAGTTGCACCCATGCAGACAACTGGAGCTCAGAAAATAAGTTTTAGATAGGTGGGAAATGGCTAACAGACTATGCAATTACATTAAGTAATGATGATACATTTTGGCCTATTGACTAAAAATATAGGTGATGGAATATGTTTAATTAGTTTGCCCAAAGAACTTAATTTAGTCTGTGAGGCATAGTAGATTGGAAATAGGTAGAAATGTTGTATTCATAATGTTAACCTAGTATTTCTCAAATGTAACACACACAGGTATCTTATGCGCTTAGGTTGGGAATCTGCTTTCCATGTGGAAAGCTGAATAAGTACAACTTTGGGGCATTATGTAGACTGGATAATTTCAGTTGTGATTGTAGATCCATTGTTGTTAGGGGAACAAATGTTGCATGTGCTCAGTAAGCCAGGATATCAATAATCACTTTGGTTAGGTGAGTTAGTGGGACAAGGCACTTAACCATGTGTTTAATTTGTAATTTTCTAATTTTTGCCTGGGAATATCTTTTTTTCTCCCTTTTCATGCCAGGATTCAACACGTACTTGCATCTTGACAAGGAAACAGGGGTTTTGCTTTTAAACAAAGCTGGATCTGTGGGTATGAGAAACTATAGTCAAAAGTGTGATGAGGTATGGTAACACAGGGTAGGCAAGTAGAGAAATGTCTTAGAGAAAGGTTCAGTTCCTTGTTTGTTGGCACTGTTCCAATCACAGTGCTGTACTGTGACATAGCAGTTACTTTTGAGCATGTCCAGTTGGAATATCTCCTTTACTGGAGGTTATGCAGGGATTACAGGCTGGAGAGCTGACAGTGCATCTCACTGATAAAACTTGAACTATTGTTTTTGGTGTGTTCTTTCCTGCCACTGCTTTAACAGTCCCTGGCCTTACAGGAAGTAAAATCAGTTTTGTGCAGTAAGATATTGTATACTTGCCAAAGCACTTAGAAGCAGTGCCACAAATTAGTATCAGCCAAAAAACATTTAAAAATGAAGCCACCGAGAACAGAGAGATGGCCAGTACAGTCCAATTTGTGGGACATAGAAGCTTTAAAGTATTAAGACATACAGAGAGGAAATCAATACTTCAGAAGAATGGTTGAAGTTTGTTTGAATGATAACTAATAGGATAATTTTAAGGTAGCTGTTAATAAGGTATCCTTGTATCTCTGTTGTCTGTAGTTGAGGGAGATGGGAGAGTTATCAAGTACAATGAAGGTTCCAACTTACTATTTTCTTTTTTGAAAAGTAATAAAGCAAAAAAAAATGCTGATTTAAATTTCATCTCCTTTTCCTTAGTCTGTCCATGTGAATGTGCTGTGTGGAAGAGTAAAAGGGCCCAACTAAATGTGTTCCAGAGATTCCAATAGGTATTCCAAATTAATTGCTGCTTGTACATTTAACACTTGTTATGTTGGGCTTCCAGGATCACCTTAATTAGGACTTATTTTTAAAAGATAGAGGAAAAGGAGAAATGGGTAACCAGGTGGATACATTCTGTAACAAGCAAAAAAAGTTGTCTGATCATTGCATACCTGAAGCATTGAGTGTTAGCAGTTGGTGGTCCTCTTGCATATGTTTAAGGTAGTATATGCACATGAGTCAAGTCCTTTCATCCTTATTCTAATGGTTCAGATTCCTTCTGTTTAACTTTTTGCAAGACATCTGTTTTAATGCCCTCCCAACTTGTAGAGTGTAAATACTTAGAATATGCTGAGGCAAAAAAGTGAGTGTAGGATACCTATGTCCTTGGTTTCCCCAAATCTGTCTGTGTCTGTACTAAATGCACAAATATTTTTATTAGGTTATAAAAACTTTGAAAATTGAGATTCTTTTGGATAGTAAAGTGATACAAATTCCTATCAAAGTATATAAAACCAACTAGGAAGTAAATTTAAATTGTGAAGACAGAAGGAATAAGAAAGCTCAGTGTGAGCTTTGTGCCAGTCCAGGGCATGTAATTTCGTGACCTGAAGTTAAAGATGATAAAGCCTAGAAGAAATTCGTTTTTCCCACTACATACTCCAGAATAATGTATTTGGTGAAATGAGAGGACTTGGGTGCTATGCTAATTTGAAATGTAGCTCTCAGGGTTTGCTCAATGAAATAGAGTTCTACTCTTGTCAACTAAAAACAATCCAATTGCTTCTGAAGAGCAGACAACCCGGTTTCAGAGTAAAAGGTCAAAATCATAAACATTTCTGTTCATTTGAGGAAAAAACCCATAAAACTGAAAAAATATTCATTTCAAAAGTAAGCTTTGAATTTGGATAGTAAAGCATATGTTTCATTTCACATGACACATCCTCAGAGTCTAAGGAGAAGAAACATTTCTATGGAAACTCATCTTCTAAGAAACCAGTATATGCAGGTGTTTACTTTGATCCCGAGGGCAGGCCATGTCATAGATGGTTTATAGCATATGGAACTTATGGAAGTTACTTCTAGAAAAAAGCAGATAACACCTGTTAAGTTGACCTAAACTTTTAAACTGAACAGTAGAAGCCTCTTTAAATTAGTACTTGCTCGTAATGTAACTTTCTCAAGATAGAAATACTTAGGGGAAAAAGTCATCCTTATGTAGAAAATGAAGAGCAAGGTGAATGCAGTGGTTGAAGACTCTCGTATTTGGAACACATTAATCTGTAGTACTCACGTTACAAACTTTTAAAATGTGATACTTTGAAAAATACCTCGTCATAAGTTTTTTTAAAATTTAAAGCTTCCCTTTTAAGAGAAAATTTAAAGACGGAACTTAATGCTCAAAACAAGCTATGGAAGATACCAGTATTTGGGTGGTAGAAAATATTCGTATGTTAGACTGACCTGATTTGATGACCACTGGACTGTATTTTAAGATGCTTCCAAGGAATATTTTATTCTAGAGGACCATTGAATATCAGCAATCGTTTTAAGTTTTCTACTTTATTCATTAAAGTTTTCTGCTTATCCAAAGTATAGTGTATATATTAACGTGACTTTCAAAGGGGTGTCTTGACCCCTATCCACCAGATTTTTATCTAGGAATAGAAGGATTCAAACCCTATTTGATCCCTAGCTCTTTGCTGAAAAGTGCATAAACAGGAATCCTGAATTTATTATATAGACTTCCTCGCATTATATAAGCGAAGCAAAGGGAAACCAGCGATGGAGTAGAGGTACGTAGACTAAAGAGATGCTTGCAAATCAAATGATGTTACTAGGGATAGTCAAAAATTTCTTGTTGCCAAACTCAGTCAAAAAGCTACTAGTTAATTTTTAAATTCCCCGAGGTCCTTTTACTGAGATGTAAAAGAAAGCAGTCAAGAAGAAACAGAGGGAGGGGTGAGGCAAGGGGGAAATGCATAAAACACTAGCAGATTGAACAGTCGGTTTGATAGATAAGCCTTAAAAAGTGTTTAAAACTACTAATGACTACAATTCTATTTTAATCAGCTATTTAGCTGGTACCTACTGCTATATCACCTAGTGTGAATTTTCGGAATTAATGGAACAATGAAGGAAGCAGTGCAGCTGGAGGCTCCAAGTGGGCATGGAAGGTAGGTTACTCTTCTGGTTTAAATTTGCAAAGGGTTTAAGCATTTGGATGAAAGGGAACTCTACTTGCTTGTAAACATTTAGTAATTCAGCTTAACAAGCGTGTACTGACTTTTCTGTCAAGACACTTGGTTGGGAATGTAAAGATAGAAATTGACAGGGTTCTTGAGGACGAGAAGCTTAGAAATTGACAGGGTTCTTGAGGATGAGAAGCTTAGGCTCTACTTGTAGCACAAGTCAGTGACCAGTGAAAGTGCAACCGCTGTATCAGATGAAACACACGGAACCGGAATGAGGTAATTCTTATTCCTAGAGGTTAGTGAGCATTATAAAGAGAAGGTAGGAGAAAAGCATTCTCAGTGGAGTGAAATAGTTTGAGCAGAGGCATGAATTCAGGTCACGGTGGCCAGAGGCGCACTAGAGACAGGATTGGCAAAACTTGATATAGTTTGGACTTGAAGTTGAGGGACAGAGTGAAATTAGATTGGATTGGAGAGGCTACTGCAAGTGGAGGTGTCAAGACCTACTTGGAGGCCTCACTGAAGGTGTCTAGTATCAATGGGATAAGGGCCCTGGAGTATGTTACATAGTTTAATAATTCATTAATATATTTGTTGTAACATCTTAATAGTTCCAGAAGAAAATATAAAGGATTGATCAGATAAACTTAGAAAATGAAATTTAAAAAGGTAACCCAATGAAACGAGTATGTCACAACTTTGTTTTTACCCAGGTCTCCTCCAATTTATGCAATCATTCTGCTGTGAACATGAACTAACCTTGTTACTGGTGAAGGCCTTGGAAATTTTTGCCAGCCGAAAAAGAGGTTTCTCTCTTACTCAGGGTAAGATGTGATCGTAGTGTGCTAGAGCTAGAAGAGACTTTCTTTAATCCAGTTGCCCGGTTTTCTGTTACATATGTTAGTAAACGGAAGCTGAGAACATAAGTGGCCTGCAAACAGCTTATGAAATATTAGATTTGATTCGTACTCATCACTTTTTCCCCTACTCATGCAGTGTGCTGCCTCTTAAAACGAGTGACACTCACTCCCTGAGATTTTAACATAATTATTTGGTCATGATAATTTGAACAACATAGACTGCACTCAACTTTGACTTGTGTCGGTAAGAGTGGGCAGATGTTCTTGCACATTGTGCAATTTACTGTAATTAACTTTCCCTAATCAATATCCAAGTCCTACCCTTGGTGGCTGCCAGATAATTAGGATCAATAAAAATCTCTTAGGATATGCTTCACAATGTTATTCTCCAGTAGTTACGGCATTTGGTAAACCACATAGCCTGTGCATCCCCACCCTCATGACGACAGCCACAAGAAGGTGGATGTGGGAAGAAAATGCTACATCTCTGGTTCATTGACCTGGAGGAGCAAGCCCCACTTACCTTATGAAAAGGGATACAGAACAAAGTTTCAGGACATCTCTTCCTTGCTCTGTTTCTTTAGCTCACCATATTAAGTAACAGAACCAATAATGATGCCATAATCCTGTCCACTGGTGTCTCTTTTCATATTTATCATTTCTTAACCAAGAAGACTTCCAGCTTGTGCTTTGTCATATTTAAAAGATTTTCTTGAAAAGTAATGTTAATGTTTTTTTAAAACCAAAAATAATTTAATTGCTTTGGAAAGGGAGAATTTTTTCCTGAATGAATAAATTCTGTGGACTTAGTTTGATGTTGGGTGCCTTGTTTGCTGTTTTTCTGGCAGCCGATTAAATTGTTACATTAATGTAAATAAGACCTTTATAATATGAGTGTAATCCTGCATTTCTTTTTCCTTTGCACCAAACAAGTTCTGAAAATATTTTCATGCATGCCATGTGCATATTTAAATTCTATTTATATAATTAAAACCCTGTATACTTCCAAAAAATATTTAGAGCAGTTAAAGACATTTATTTTTTGCAAGATGACTTACCTGTTGTAAGAAATGGAAGAATAGTGTCAAGCAGTGGGTACATTTTTTAACATACCAATTTGCAAAGTGATAAAATCCATTACTTTGTCTTAGAATAGTACTGGCTTTAGAAACCAGGAGGTATTCCCTAATTTTTAACGGGACAGTAATACAGTTGTTTGTTGTTTTTAAGGCAAGTTTTAGAATCCAACTGGGAGAGATTTTATTTCTTGAAATGCTGTCATTTGTATTCATTCATTCCTTATCACAAATTAAGTATGATAAGTCCACTCTATGCTGTACTGGCAGTAGATACAGGGTCAGAACAACTTTGTAAGTATTCATACGAGTGTTAAAAAAAAAAAAAAAAGACTACCATTTACACGTAACTAAAAAAAGAAAAGACTACCATTTACACATAACTTTATTTACTTCATTGAAAGCTTTATGGTACATACAATGTTTATATATATAGTTGGCCTCAGCTTTGTTCTCAAGACTCTGCTCAGTTGCTGTTGTTGCCATTGGTTTGTTTTCTTTCAGGATCAAGGTGGGTACTTTCATATAAAATCTTATTTTTAATTCCTTCTCTGGCAATTCTTTCCTGGATTCTCAGCTTTGCATGATTATACCTACAATGAAACCTTGTGAAAAAGAACATGAATAAGTCATTAATAGACAGAAATTAATTTGAAATTTATAACAAAATTTAAAAAGCTTAGGTGACTATCTCAAGACTGAAAATAGCACTCCAAATTAGAATAGTTATATTTTTGGGTGGTTTGGTGTCAAAAATAACCTATGAACACATTTGTTTTATTATTATTAAGGTATATTTTCTATAAAATGAGGATTTCTATCAGCTTAGTTTCACTTGTTGTAGAACCTCATATAAATGGAACCACTTGGATGTACTCTTTGGTTTGGCTTTTTTTGATTAAGAAAACATATTTGAGATTCATCTATGTTGTACCAGTAGTTGTTAACACATTCTTCAAGTAGCATTTTCAGATGTGATGCCATAAGCAGGGAAGAAATGAGCACTAGATTGAGGCCTTCCTAAGTGAAGTATAAACCATAACTTAAACATTAATAGAATGTCTAATGTCATGCATCTGTTCATGTGATAAATGGTATGAAATATATGTACATTTTAAAAGGCATTCCAGCAATATCATTTTGTAAGACAAATTTCCATTAAAAAGTACTTTTTTAAACAATAAAAATCAAGATTCTTCACTGAGGGTGGGAATCTCCCAATGGGAGACTGGTCTGAAAAGAGCTTATGCTTTGGAATTAAATAAAACTTATTACAATCGTGGGTCTTCTTGAATATTTACTGTACATACCAGCATCCTAAAGTCACCAAGATAAATCCTCCTACTCCAACATCACATGATTTTCTAATTCTACCTGTCAAAAAGAGACATAACCACCATAATTAATTATAATTATACATTACATACATTACATATATTAATCTATAAAAAAGTGGTTCACCACACAGAGAAATGTATATAAAAACAGATACTCACTAGTTAACAAAAAATGTCCAAGGCCAGCCACAACAGATCCTAATGAACCATATAGTATTGAATCCCGTGCACAGGGAATGTTTTCGACATCTAAAATTCCTAGGAGTTTAAAGGGCTAGGATAAAATAAAAAAGAACCTGGGTTGAACAAGGAAGTATTTTATTTCAGGGTGGTTTAGTAAAGATTCAACTAGAATAAATGTGCTTTGTGACAACTACGAATCCGTTTACATTGTCTTTGATCATCCTCCTTTGGTATACAATCTTAATCTTTACCTGGGAAACCTTGAGAATTTGACCAGAAAGCCCTAAGCAGTAGGATAAATTAAATTGTGGTGTTATGCCATAATTTGCTAATCGACTGGTTTCAGAATAAGAGCATACATTATTTTATGAGCTCTTTAAATATCTATGAATTTGGAAGTTTGGCTATTACTGAAATTAGAAAGCATAAATGCGAAAAGTAAAATTATTCTGTGTTTGCTTATAATATTAGTATAGTGCTTTTTGTTTTAAATTCCTTTAACAATGACTTCAGATTTTATTGGCGTTAACTCGCTGAACATCAGTTGTGTTTATAATAAATACTTCATGTAAAGATAAACGTGGGCAAATCTCTCTTTTCTGGTCTGTTTCCCCTTGCTTTCAATAATGAAGTTGCATGCACTTGATTGTATTTGGTTCTTTGATAGTATATGGTAACCACATCTAGGTGTGATGAAAAAAAGCTGGACATCCAGAGAGTGGGATTTTTGTCTCACCTCTGCCTCTAATTTCTGTAACCTGTAAGAGATATATATATTTTATTATCTCTCTGGCCCTCAATCTGTAATGAAGGGGTTGGGCCAGGTGATAATTTAAGTTCCTTCAAGTGCTAAAATGAATAGTTCTTAAATTCTTTTTCCAGTCTTCATTGCATTTATGGACTTGATCTTCATTAAAAACATACTCCTACCGTAAGCTTAGTATGTTTAAACTTGAATGTCACTCTACTAGCTGTACATTAGGAGTCTGGAGAGGGCAGGACAGACATTTTTTAAAAGTCACTTACATTTCACTAAAGTATTGTTAATAAAATCTTAGAAGATGTAGGGTACTGTTTTCTAAAACTTGATTAAATGCAAGTTTTCAGTAATGTAGCTTTTAAAAGGCAGCCACTTGTCCATTTAAAGGTTTCACTTTTTAAATGGTAGTATGGTGTGAGACTAAAGGGTGAGGTGATGCCTAGAAGGTGTAATAGAAGGGAAAAAAATAGGAGGGAATGGGGGACAGTGATAAGGCAAGTCAGATTATAGGTTGAAACACGAAAATATTGTGTTTTCTCCTGTATTTGCTTCTTTGGCCCAAGCTTCTGCCAGAAAAGACTTGGTTCATAGTAAAGCAAAAATTATATACTCATCATTCTATTCCATTTTTTCTTTTGTCTCACCATGCTACCCTCCCCCCACATACCTAACACAGCAGATGCTCAGTAATGTTGCGGACTTTAATTATAAAAGCTCTTCAATACAAATCTTCATATGCAAAGAGTTGGGAGATTCTGTTTCTGCCTTTTCATTTTCATTTAGGAAAAAACTTGTTTCTTACCCTATCAGCTCAAGAGCCTAGGGAACTGTGTGGGGGGAGAGTGTGAGCTGCTATACAGATAGGACTGCTGGACTCCACGGTCCAGTCCAGAAGTACTTGCCCCACCTCCAAAGCAGCCTACTTCCCTGGGGGAAGGATGCTGGGGGGGGGGGGGGCGCTGCGGTTAGTGCCAGTTTTAATCAAGTCTTAGAATCTGCAAGTGAGACCAGCAGTTTCTGCCACAGGGTGGAATGTTGGGATGGCTTTCACGTTTGGGCAAAGAAATCCTAAGCAGAGAAAATAAAAGGACCCATCAAGGCTTAGCCACAGCATGCCAAGCACTGCACACTTCTGCCAAAGACAGCACGAGTTCCTTTAAGGCTTCTGGGCTTTTTCATTTGGATTCCCTCCCATAATGGAGCCATAGTGTGACCCCAGGATACACTAGAATCTGCAGACAAACATTTTTTCACTCACTTGGACAAAATGCTATCAACCCCCATTTTTTACTAAGAGTAAAATATACTTGCCAAGTACCTGAAATAGTGCTGCTTCAGTCAGCTAGGTAAGTCTCTTTTTGAGTTTTTTTTTAGAGATTTTCAAATCCCCCCCTCAGATTCTGATTCAGATCTAGGCTAGGCCATTGGAATCTTTTTAGAAATTTTGGAGTTTTTTTCTTGATGAATCAGATTGGGAAACACTGCTTTTAGATACTGTTTGGAAAAGTATAAATTAAAAAAATGCAAATAATGGGATAATCTTACCTTTTAAAGACAAACACTCTATTTAAAATGGTACCTCCTGAAACCAACATGGATAGAGACCAGGGATGCTGCTGGTAATTGTTCTACGATACCTATACCAGCCCCACCTCCAACAAAACTGGTCTAATGTCAGTGCCAAGGTTGAGAAACCAACATTAGTCTTCTATTCAGACAATCTCATAATTTAGGGCTGGCAGGGGCTATTGGTGCCAGGCCCTTTACATCTCTTACTTTTAATTCCCACAACCTCTGAGATTCTCTATGAAATGGGCCCAGGGGGTCTTTTAAGTACTGGCAGAGTGGAGATGGAAGTCAATCTGACCCCCAAAGCCTGTCATTTCCATGGCATCATGTAACCCTTTAGGGGTTTTATACATGAAAAAACCAGGGCTCACTCAGGTAGAAGTCATTTTCCAAAGGTCTCACATCTAGAGAGTAAGAGGACATGACAGTACATCTGCGATTTGCATCAAAACTGGGAAAGCTTATACAAAGACATTTGAAGACCACAATTTTCACTTTCCTAGTAGAGAATTCTCAGCCTCCTCGTAAAGCTGGAGCTTAGACTACTGATTACTGGTGACTTAAAAGCAGATCTGGAACACTATAAATGAAGAAATCAGTCTTCAGCATATATTACTTTTAGAAAGTAAACTGAACTGAGATTCTCAGAAAAGGAAACAAAGGGTCCAAGCCTTAAGTCCCTTTGAAGTACTATTTATAATGTACGAGCATGTAAACATTTCTTTTATTCCCTAGTAGTTTGCAAACTTAACTTCTGCCATTAACAAGTATTAGGCCTGAAATATAAACTAAGGAACTTTTAGAGTGACTTTTTTTTTTTTTTTTTGAGGAAGATCAGCCCTGAGCTAACTACTGCCAATCCTCCTCTCTTTGCTGAGGAAGCCTGGCCCTGAGCTAACGTCGGTGCCCATCTTCCTCTACTTTATATGTGGGACGCCTTCCACAGCATGGCGTGCCAAGTGGTGCCATGTCCGAACCGGTGAACCCCGGGCCGCCGAGAAGCAGAACGTGCCAACTTAACTGCTGTGCCACTGGGCCGGCCCCCTTTTGTAGACTATTTTTAAGCTTCGATTTAGAAAAGCAGTTTCACCAGCTCACCTTGACAGAACTAAGGGAAGCTCAGAAGAGATTTCTAAGCTAGAATGCCAACTTAGTAACTTAGAGGAAATCAGATCGAATAAGAGCCACCTCATTTCCCACTGCCAAACATATCTGCACCAGTGCCCATATTCCTCTCGTTGCAAAAGACGAACTGGCCCTGTTCGTATTTAAAACTAGTCCCAACTGCAGTTGATTGCTCTCTTGACTACTCAAGGATTTTGCTCCTATAGTTACCCCTTCTTTCATTTGCATCGTTTTTTCCTCTCTACCCATAGTCTCCAGCCAAGGAACATACAAATCTCGACACCCCTTCCCCCGCTAAGCTACCATCCCATTTTTCTGCTCCCTTTCACTGCAAAACTAAAATGACTCATGTGCGCTGCCCCACTTAAAAATCTCCTGTCCTCCCTTTAACTCACATCAATGAGGCATTTATCCGCTACACCCCACTCAAACAGCACCCTTCTAAAAGACATCCATTTTGCAAAATCCACTGTACTCTACATCAGCACGTGTGGCCGATAATCATTTGTTCTTTAAACATTTTCTTGTCTTCAAATATGACGGTGTCTCCTGGTTTTCTATCTCAGTGGCCATTCCTGGCAGCTTTGTTGCTGTCCCCTCTGATGACCCCTAAAAGTTGAAGTGTCCCCCACCCCTGAAATCTAGTCTCTTCCTAGGTGTCTGAAGGCTTTCAATTAAATGTCATTTATATGATGATGACTTCCCAAGTTTATAAATCAAACTCTGATCTCCCAAGCTTTTGGGAGAGAGCTGCTTACTGACACCTCTTCTTATATGTCAAACACCTTGTACTTAATATTTCCAAATCAGAATTATTTTCAAAGGCATCCCTAATCAACCAAGTTTCAGACCAAAAACCTCAGAGTCATCCTTGATTCCCTTTGTTCTTCAAACCCGTGTCCAAAGTATCAGCAAGTCTCGAAGGATACACCTGAACCAAATACATCCTGAACCAAACCACTTCTCACGTTCACTGCTGCTACTACCAAGCTGCCGTCACCTGCCATGGTATCACTCAGATGACATTCTCAGTTTTGAGCTTCCACGACCTTCAGTGAGGCTCAGATATCTGACACATGAAACTCCTCACTCGTGCTGTGCAGGTCCTACCTGAACTGCACCTACCCTTGTTCCGTATCCCGCTTGTTCTCTGGTCTCCTAGTCTGGGCGCACTGGCCATTCCTCTAACAAGCCTGGATGGATTGCTTAGCACACGATGCTTTCCTCCTGGACCTTTGCGTGGCTGGCTCAGTAAATGAAATTCTTACTCCCTTTTTGTTTGATTCCCCCAGCAGAATGTTCACAAGGACAAGAATTTGCCTGTTTTGATTAAAGCTATGTCTTTAGCACCTAGTTTACTGTCTAATACTTTGTAGGTACTCTATAAATATTTTTTGAATGGGTGAATTAATAAATTTAGAATTTACCTGGGGCACGTTTCCTGGTACACATGTAACACGTTTCATATTTTAAAGTTTTCTTGAAGAGCAAAGAATGAGAGCAGACAGTGTTTAAGGACTAGTTCTATCATGTATACTTGATAACTTACCCAGGTTTACTGATTCTCATAAACAATCCCTGGATTGTACTGGAAGGATCACTGAAAAATTCTTTCAGGCCTCCTTTTTTTTTATTTTTTATTTTTTTAAGATACCCTGGGCTAATTTAATCATTGCTTGTGTTGTATTAATTTTGTTATAATCTCTTTGATGAGCCCTGATAGGTACTAGTGTTTCAAGAGCAATTTATTTACAGGCCATTTTTTTAACCTTGCCCCACTAAACTGGCAGTCCTCAGTTTTAGTGACCTGTACTTCATTTCACCAAATACATTATTTTGTTTTGCTAATGACGGACCAATTTAATTGATAAGATAGTGGTTCTTTTCTGTCTTGAATTCTTTAATTCTTAATGGATTAAACCACCCTAGGCCCCTTAAATGACAAGTTATCTCCTATCAAAGATGAACAATCAGGTACAAAAGAGATAAAAAGCCCCATTCAAGATCCCAGTGTTCTCACAAAACAGTCTGGAATTTTGCGTTTGTACTTAACGGTGCTTCTCGAAATATGTAAGTTTCAAGCGAGGGTATGTTTTGTTACACTAAGCATATTCCACATACTACGAGACATTAAAAGGCACCAATGGTGCATAAATTGACAAAATTTGTTTTGATATTAAATATGCAAATAACTTATCCAACACTTGTTCATATTAACCATTTGAAGATCTGCTATCTTGGCCAAATTTAGATGGAAAAGTCCCCAGAGAAGAACTTTGAAGAAGTGAGAAAAATTTCTAAGCTCAGCAGAGTATATCCTAAAACTATAGGAGCAATCTGGCACACAGTGGGTCTTCAGTAAACACTCATGATTGATCCAATGTTAATCTAGCTTACTACTGAAAATATTTTTTTCTCTTTTCTGAACATCTGTTACGTGCTCGGCACTAAAGATAAAAACTGGGCTCCCTGCTCCTAAGGAGCCCGAGGAAGACAAGACAACGTATGAACTCCCGGCATAAGAGATGCTGTGATTCGGCTGTGCCCGAGCTGCGCGGGGACGGGGACGGACGCCGCTCGGTCTGCCGCGGGGTCGGGAGGCCGGGCCCGAAAGCTAGTGCAGCTTCGGGACGCCGCAGAGGCAAGGGCGAGCCGGCAGACAGGCCGACAGCGAGGGCTAGGTGAGGGGCTTTCACTCACACGCCAAGGGGTTGCATGTCACCGGGGGGGGGGCGGGGGGGGCTGCGCCCGGACGGGAAGCAGAGCTGAGGGCCAGCTGGGGCCGGCGCGCCGACCGCTGTGGAAGGCGGCCGCGGGGGACGCGGCGCCGGTCGAGGAAAGGAAGGTTCACGGAGAACCTCTGTTCCTTCGTTTCCTCCGCCTGCTCTGGGCGCAGATTCCACGGAATAAACCACGTTGTCAGACCTGCGCAGGTCTCGGCCCCTGCTAGGCGTCGTGAGCACGCGGCCCTGTCCGCAGGGAGCCCGAGACCGCCCTCTCCCTGCGCGGGCTGTCCCTGCCCCGGGCCCGGCCCCCTCCCCAGCGGCCCTCCGCCCCGGCCGCGCGCCCCGGGGTACCTTCCCTTCCGCGGGCTCGCCCGGCTCCGGTGCGCCAGCCATGGGCGCGAGTCGGCGCCTCCACGCCGCACGGCGCGCCCGGTGGCCCCGCCCCGCCCCCTGCGCCCCGCCCGCCCGCGCGCCGGCGCCATCTTAGGGTCGGTCTCCGGCTCTCCTCCGCGCGCGGGCGGGCGCGGCCGCGGCCTCTTTTGTTCGGTGGGGCAGGTCCTCCCTTCCCGTTAGGAGCTCTCCAGCCCAGCGGGCCAGGCCCGCGGGAGGAGGAGGACTCGTGACCTCGCGCGGGCTCCTCCGTACTGCGCCCCGCCCCCGCTTTCCGCCCCAACCGCCATTTTCAACCGTCGCCCGCGCTCGCGCTCGCGTGCACGGCCGCGGGCGGGGCGGAGGGCGCGCGCCGCGCTGCTTTGTCCTGCGAGCAAGCCTGGGGCGCCTCCGTGTCCTTTGTCCTTCCGGCCTCGGAACGGGCCCCGGGCGCCACCTCGCTTTAGCTGCCGTTTGGCCCCGAGCGCCAGCCTCCACCACATGGCGGCCCCACGCTCCCCGCGCCGCCTCCCTTCGTTAAACGGCGCCGCTCGGCTGGCCTAGGGGAGACGGGGGACAAAATGGAGGCGGCTCGCCAGGAACATGCGCCAGCCGCGCGCGCCTCCGCGGCTGGAGGGCGGGCGGTGCCCGCGGGTCGGGAAGGGAAGGTCGGCGACGTGCGGCCTTCCCCGTCCGACTCCCCCGGCTGCGAGCCCTCCTGCCTTTTGTCCACCCTAAGGGAAACGTGCCCGTCGCCACCTCAGGCCGCCTTCATTCGTGTACGCGTAGGGCTCAAGTTCAGTCTAAGCACACGCGGACGCCTCGGAGGGGACCGTCGCGCAGGCCCCGCGGCCTCCCCGCCCCCGCGGCCGCCGGCGTTGTGCGTGCGTGCGGGGGCGCCGTGCGTGCCAGGGGCGGGCGCCGGCCGGAGCGCCGGGTCCCTGAGCGTCTCCGCGTCCGCGGCCTCTGGGTCGCCGCTGTTCTTCTGCGGTGCCGGGAAGAGACGGCGCTAATCACCCATTTATGTGTGACAGTTATTGTATTCTTAAATGCATAACTCTTGGAGACGTTGGACGGTTACAGAAAAAACACACACTGCGCTAATATATATTAGGAATAGAAAACAAGTCACCTTCCCAGCGATGTGTCGCCAGTTTGGGATGCTCTGACGCCCTGGCGCTGGCCGCGGAGCTCCTGCCCCGGACCGTCGTGTTGGGGCGGCGGTCCCCGCGGAGCGCGGGCGGCCCTTGAAGTAGCTCCTAGTTACGTTGTGAAGGAGGTGAACTGGAGGAGTAGCAGGTAAAACGCCATGTGCCGTCCTAGTTTGTTTTTATTGTGACTGAAAAATTGCTAGGGTAAGCTTAGTGGGGTCCTTTCATTTGTCTTTGCAAAGTATTTACATGTGTGTTATTTCTTGATGTTAAAAAATTGGAAATTTCACAAAAGTTGCATAATATTTACGTTTGATTTTTTGTTTTTGAGTTTCATAGTTTATTATAAAGTGGAAAGTAGAATTCTCTCACTTTCACTCCTTGTTTCTCCCTGTCTGAGGTAAACGCAGCCAACAGGTGATGTGTCTCGTTCCAAACTGGGCTCTTTTTCCTCAGGAAAACAGCGGGGGACCGTGGGGTGAACGCTGCGAGCGCCCGGGGGCCCCTGCCCGTCCACACGGGGGGCGCGTGGGGGTGGCCGCGCGCGTCTACACGGCTGCGCTATGTAATTTGCATTCGCTAATTTACTTTTTGCCGTTTAACACTATGTCTTAGAAATCTTTTCATGTAAGTCCCTGTAGTTTTACTCATTCATTTTAAAGACTGCTCAGCAATCCTTTAATCGTTTTCCTTCTGATTGATAATATAGAAGGTTTCAATTTTTTCACTAATCCAAAAAAATGCTTGAGTGAGCATCTTTCTGCATATATCCTTGTGCACATGTGCGAGGATTTCCGTGGTGTAGATTTCTGGAAGTGGCCCGATTCAAAGGGGTGTGCACTTTGAAACATTTAATACCCTGCTAAATTGTCCTCCTCAAATACTGCCAGTTTGCGTTCCCCGTTAACAGCGTTAGAGTGCCTGTTTCCTCACAACCTTTTAACGCTGCCTGGTGGCACGTTTTAAAATTTTTGCTTATCTGATAGGTGAAAAATCGTGTGTTACTGCTTTGCACTTTCCTGATTATTAGTATGGTTGAGCATTCTTTCAAATGTTTACTGGTCATTTTCTACGAATTCACTTTGTATAACTTTCGTGCATTAAAAAAGGTGGTTGGGTATGTGATTTTCTGATCAGTTTACAGCAGCTCTTTACAATTGTGGCTTTTAATTCTTATATTTGTAACATTTTCTTGTAGTTCCCTTATTTATTTTGTTTATGGAATCTTTCATTTCTCAGACTTAACTGTTTTTTTCATGGAACCCAATCTGTCAGTGTTTTCTTTCGTGGCTTTTGTTCTTGTGTCTTGCGTTAAGTAGGCCTTCTTGACTCCCATAATAAAAAGTATTCTCATAATTTTGAAAATAATCTTCATATGCTCCCTTTCTCAATAATTTTGATTATTTATCTCTTTTCCTATTTCTTAAAAAACCAACTTTTGATCTTATTGACCAAGTCTATTTTTTCTATTTCATTTTATATTTTACATTTTTTCTGTTTACCTGGTTTCTATTTTGTTGTCTTTTTTCTAGCGTTTTGAATTGACTACTTAGTTCGCTTATCCTCCATCTTTCTTGGTTTCTAATGAGTATATTGAAGGCTATGAAATTTCCTCTGGGAATCATTTTATGGTATATTACAGATTTTGACAGATTCTTACCATTCTTTTCTAAATTTTCTATAATTTCAGCCTTTATTTACAAGTAAATAAGTCTGGATATGCTTTTGGTATTAATTTTTAGTTTTTTTGTTTTTATTTTGCACTGTGGCTATATATTTCTACTTTTTGGAATTATTGATTTTTGTGCGTGTGTGGTACCTGAAATTTTGTACATGTTCCATAGGCATTCGAGCATTCTCTATATTAGCATAAAGTTAAGCTTATTAATTATAGTAGTATATTGTGTATATTATAAGTATATAAACGACATAATAGCATTAAATTAAGCTTGTTGATTGTTATTCATCCATCGTTTTGTATAGTAAGGGTTTTTTTCATTGCAAGCAACAGACTCGGAGTCTGATTAGCTTAAACCAGAAAGAAATTTATTGGGAACATGTGGAGAAACTCCTCGAATTGATAGAAAGTTGAAGAGCCAGGTCTTGAAAAGGACAGCATCAAGGACAGTTCCGGGGTCTCCATAAAGGAGTGGCTTTTCAGGATGACAGTGAAAGCAAGGAATCACGATTAGGGACCTATTCAGTCTTATTCCTGCTATGGTGCTTTGCTTTTCAACCATGCTGTCTGTTCTAAGACTCCCTGTTTGTCTCACGGTTGATGCAGGTGCCCTGAGTGAGGTGGTGGTTTAGCATAGTGGGTGGTGTGGGGCCAGGAAAACTTTTCTCCAGGGCTTCCTTCCCTCTTGGTGGCTGTAGACATCCTGGCACGCTGCCTGGAGCGTCTGACCTCACTCTCCCCTGTGGGAGGGGCGCCCAGTCTCAGCAGTCCCCTCCTAGAGAGCTGTCATTATCTGCTGGTGGCAACTTCGGGGGAGGGAACTGGAGATACCATTTTAGGGGTTTGGTGGGGCTGTGCTGGCAAAACTCATTTTTTGAGGTTCTCTCTTAGGCTTGTGTGGGGTGTTTTTTAATTGGGTATATTGTATGGGTTTAATAATCAGTCTGATCCCAACTCCTGTGTATCATCCAGACATTCCTGACTGTCCTCGTCTGCTGTGGTGCATTCTCCTGTCTTCCTAGCAGAGGTATGGATTTATTTTTATTTTTATTTTTATATTCCTTCTGTCATTTCAATAGGTTTTGGAGGAAGAAGTGATAAAAAGTTGTGTTGTCAGCCCTCTATAACCGGAGCCTGAATTTTCCTCCTCTTTCCTGTTTGTGTCTGCACATCCACGCATGTGCAGGTGTCTACGCCTAAGGGTACTACAGAGCTTATGAAGAAGCCCAGCTGTTTCCTGACACACTTCTCTCCACTCTGGAGTTCCACACTCCACAGGCAATGACTTTTATCTCTTTTGGCCCTTTCTTCTGGTAGTTTATCTTCATATTTCTAAAATGCTCATTTTTTTTCTTTCTTTCCTTCTTTCTTTTTTTTTTTGTGCTGAGGAAGATTGAGCTAACGTCTGTGCCAGTCTTCCCCTATTTTGTATGTGGGTCACTGCCACAGCATGGCCGCTGATGAGTGGTGTAGGTTCATGCCCAGGAACCGAACCCAGGCTGCCAAAGCAGAGTGCACCGAACTTAACCACTAGGCCATGGGCCCAGGCCTAAAATGCTCATTTTTCTATTTCTTGATTTTTCAGTTTTAGGCATTATTTATTGATAATGAAAATTTAACTGTATTTTCCATCCCTTCCCCTCCCCTCATCCTCTCAATATGGTTGTATCACATTTTAAGAAGTTAAACCAGCATTCAGTGTATGCTTTGTTATGACAGTGTAAATGTTCATAGCTGAGCCATGCAGAGTACTATGAGCCATTTCTTGTAAAACTTTTTATTTTTCCTGGAGTTAATAATTGCTTTATTTGTTTATTTGCTTGGTTTTGTTGGAGCTAGCTCTTATTGGTGTTTTTTTTCTTTAGCATGAGAGATTATCTGAATTTTAGCATATCATACTCATGTGCCTCATAGGACAAACGAGTATTATATGCTCTTTTCTTTTCCTTACTGGCTCTTGAGAGCCAATTGTGGGTATCTCTTGTCCGCCCTGTGTTCAGTGACTTCACCCTGGTAGCTTGAAATCGGCTATAGTGGAAGCATTTATGCCATGGAAATCAGCAAAGGCTACATACAAATCAGGGCTTCTTTCTTTTTTTTCTTCTCTTCAGAGATGTGGTTCACCAGTATACCACTGAATCATTAATTTTTCTCTCAAAATTCTCCCAGCAAGCTCTGAAACTCTCTGGAGTGTGGTCAGACACTACCATCCACCTGGCTGTTGCTTCTTTGAGGATGTCTGCCCTGGAGCTTTTCTCTTCTTGTCCAGTCTGTAATGGTTGCTTTCCAAGACTGATTCCCAACCATCAGCCTGGGCGTCTCATCGCCTCATGCCTGTGCTGGATCACCTGCTTCCTCAGTTTCTTGTCCTCCTCTTTCTTGGTTTATTCCCTCATCTTGGAGGAGTGTATCTTCCAGTGACTTCCTGGAAAAAAGTTGCATAGAAGGTAAATATTTTGAGATCATAATGCTCCAAAATATTTTCTCTCCTG